TATGATTATATATATATATATATATATATATATATATATATATATATATATATATATATATATATATATATATATACATATATACATATATATATAATATATATATATATATATATATATAATATATATATATATATATATATATATATATATATATATATATATATATATATATATATATATATATATATATATATATATATATATATATATATATATATATATATATATATATATATATATATATATATATATATATATATATATATATATATATATATATATATATATATACTATATATATATATATATATGTGTGTGTGTGTGTGTGTGTGTGTGTGTGTGTGTGTGTGTGTGTGTGTGTGTATGTGTATAATTATATATATATATATATATATATATATATATATATATATATATATATATATATATATATAATATATACTTATATATGCTTATATATACACATATATATATATATATATATATAATATATATATATATATATATATATATATATATATATTATATATATATATATATATATATATATATATATATATATATATATATATATATATATATATATATATATGTATATATATATACAAGTAGAGAGAGATAGAAATTAAGCTTCCTGCTCGAAAATAAAGGGAAATAAATACCAAACGTATTTCTTCATTGTGTTTGTTCCGCTGGTGTGTCCCCGAGCATTTCGGTCGGTTTTCGTTTCACACATGTTTTTTCTCGCGGGGGGATACCCGAGGATCTCACTAATGACGCGTCGAGATGGAAGTCACGGGATACAGGATATCACATTCGGGAGCAGAGGAAAACATCGTTACGTTTCGAATTCTTTGCTGCGTCCGAATGTGGACTTAGGAAGAGGTAATGATAACGCATTTTGAGGCAACTATGGATTTCGCCGAGGTCCTAGTCAGCTTTGGGTACGTTATAAACGCGCGCACACACACACACACACACACACTTTTTAATCATTAAATGAATCATTTGATAACATAATCCAAATTCTGAAAGCAATGCATACCGTATATCTATGTGTATTTATTTATCTGTTTACGTGAACACGCGTGCCTTATATATTGAAGATGTCAGTTGGAACGCCGACCCTAAAATCTGTATTGCTCCTAGTATTTGTTCATGCTCGGTGCAGCTCCAAACTCGGAGGGTGGGAAGGTCGAACGTCATTCTGTCTTTTGTTGCTCTCTGCTGATTCGGGAGTCAAGCGAAGAAAAGATTTGGTTCCCGAAGGAGTAGCTGGGAAAGCTGCTCTATATTCACAGACAGTGGATTTACGATATTGAAAGGGGTATATTTCCAGGATTTATGTTTTTTCATCGGTAAAAAAGTACACGAGTTTGATTTTTCCCCCCGAAAGGAATGATTCGATTACATACCGGATATCTACATCTCGGCATGTAGACAAAAATGCTTTTGAATTTGCATATAAAGCTACGCATAAATATATATCGTCTGATTGTCGGCTGGAATCGACGGAGAAGGAGAGACGGAGAGATGTGCTTACAGTTGAACCGTTCAGAGACAGGAAAGGCACAAAATGAAAAGAAAGGTAAGTATAGAAAGGAGACGCAATCACGAAGAAGGGATAATATATTGAATCCTCGATATTCCAAAAAAAGAGCCGAAACTGATGTTAAGAGGAGACAGATCTTCATAGGACTACGAATAGAGACAATTAAAAGAAAGGGTAGACGAAAAGTAATAATAATAACAATAACAATGATAATAACTATAGTAATGATAGTAATTATAATGATAATGATTATAAAAAATAATAATTACCATAAAAATAGTGATGTTAATAATAATAATGATAACAATAATAATAACAATGATAATAATAATAGTAATGTTAATAATAATGACAATAATAATAATTGCAAGATATATATAAGATAATAATGATAACAATGATAATGATAATAATGATAAAGATAATAATTCAATAACTATAATATTGATAACAATAACAATGGGAATATGGATAATAGTACTGATAATAACAATAACAAAAATATGTATTATTACTGCTACTAATGATAATACTAATAGTGATAATGATAACGGTAATGACAGTAATAATAACAACAAAACAACAATAATAATAACTATAATGATGATTATATTAGTAATGATGATAATGACGAGAATGATGATAATAACAATAATAATAATTATGATAATGATGATGATGGTGATGATGATAATGATAATAATTATAGTAGTAGTAATTATAATAAAATGTCAATAATAATGATAACGATACCAATAGTAACAATAGTAATAATGGTGATGATAGTTATAATGATAATAATAATGATACTGATGATGATCATGATTACAGCGGTTACAATAATGTTAAACCAAATGTCTTATTTTTTCATAATGAGCAAAGTGAACTGAACGAGGAAAATGTGATTAACAGATTATTCCATTTTTAGCAAGTACGTATATGCCGAGCGCGTGGCCAGGACGGCGTGAAAATTAAAAATCGGCAACTCAAGCGATAGCGGGAGACGGACTGGGTCAAAGGTCGAATAACTCTTTACGATGTACCGTATAATATATCTTTTATTGTCTTTGTTTCAGACAGCGGGAGAGCGGTGGCAAGGAGTTTGATCTTCCAGTGAAGAAGAATGAACGTTCACATGTACAGTTATGTTTAGGAAAATCCTCTAGCCCTACAAAACACTCACTGTGAATAGTGTATACTTTTTACGTATGTTAAATTTACAGGTCGCATTTTTTAAAGTTATACATCTAACATATTTTTATTATGTATTAGATGTACACATTTTTATTATGTATTTATTATGTATATCATCATTATCCGTCAGTCACATGTTCATTAATCCTGACACTCGGACAGTCATACAAACACGCTGCCACGAGAACTGATTCCGAACCATTTAAGCATTAGATACGTTAATTTAATTGGCTCGTTTCTTGCAGAGCAGCTTTATGAAGAGCGGGGCCGTTAGGGGAGGGGTGGAGGGAAAGAGGGATAGAGAGAGAAAGAGAGAGAGAGAGAGAAGAGAGAGAGAGAGAGAGAGAGAGAGAGAGAGAGAGAGAGAGAGAGAGAGAGAGAGAGGGAGAGGGAGAGGGAGAGAGAGAGAGAGAGAGAGAGGGGGGGGCGGTGCTAACCAGCCTCCATGCCAGTGAATATCAGGCAGGCCAGCTTTTGGTACTGAAATTAGGCTTTTATATGAGGTCGGTTACTGTGAA